ACATGCACAATAACATTAGACAATAACCAAGGAACACCCGGGCACACATGCATATTTACATCAAATGCTCAGCAAGATTCTGGACATCTGAGGGACCCTGATCATTTATCTTCACTTTCCCTACAGACTGGTAGGTAAACGTGGACCCTGTGTTCACACTTACGGTCATTCATAAGGCATGAACAATAGAGGACAGGGAGAGTAGGGGGTGAGGCAGTTGAAAGCAAGATGGGATCGTGGCTACTACCGGGAGGGTTTTATGTTTGGCCCCAATCAGTATCTGTCTTGTTTTCACCGTGGTAATGACAGTTGTTCCACACTTGCTGAGGAACTCTGAGGGCCTGGTAGGGATGGGCTTCCAGGTTTGTAGAAAAGTATCAGTCTGTCTCAGAAGAAAATTACCATGAGGTTTTCTGAGGAGGCAACAGCAATTTTGTCATGGCTTAGCAGTGAACACCTGTCTCTGCTTTTTTTTCATGTGGCATCAGTTACAGTGGCTGAACTTGGGACTGCTGGAGGACTCAGTTCCAAGATAGTTCACACACATGGCTGGCAATTTTGCTGTTGACTGGGAGTTCAGCCAGTGCTGAGAGCTGCTGGCATTAGTTCTTTTCCAGACAGTCCTCCCCTTAGTGGATAGGACTCAGTTCCAAAAGTGAGTATCTCAAGAGACAGGGAGTAGAAACTGCAAATTTCATAAGACCTGGGCCTGGAAATTATCCCAGCATCACCTCAGCTGTATTCTATTAGCCAGTCATAAAGCCTAGATTAAGGGAAGGGGCATGGACTCCACTTTCCAAAGGGAGAAGTGATAAAGATTTTAGGAGCTGTATTAGTCTGTTTTTGTGTAACTATAACAGAATTGGGTAGTTTTGTGTTACTATACCTGAGAATGGGTAGTTTATAAAGAAAAGAGCTTTATTTGGCTCACAATTCTAGGACAGCTGCCTCTGGCATGAGCCTCCGGCTGCTTCTACTCATGGCAGGCACCCAGTGGGTGCAGAGAGATCACATAGTGAGTGAGGAAGCAAGAGAGAGAAGGAGGGGAAGTGCTAGGCTCCTTCTAACAACCAGATCTTGTGGGAACTAAAAGAGCGAGAACTTACTCACAAGACCCCCTACCCCCAGGGAGGGCACTAATCTATTCATGAGGGATCTGTCCCCATGACCCAAACACATCCCAACACTGCCACACTGGGGATCACATTTTAACATGAGCTTTGGAGGGCAAACATCCAAAGTACATCAGGAGCCATGATTAGAACTGCCACACCAAGTTCAGGGAAAACAATTTCAGTTATTTATAGATTCTCTAAAAAGCCTTGAGAGTTTAGATGTGTAATACACATTATGTATGACTGCCTTGCTTACTGTCTATAACATTTCTGGCAGTACATTACATTGCCACCTGTGCCTTAATTAAACCAAGATTGTACCATATTCCACATCAGAATTTCCCAACCCATACCTCACCCCCAACCTGTTTTGGTCAAAATTCAGCCCCTAAAGAAGATAAACTAACAGGAATTTGGTCTCTTTTTGATGGACTATTATCAACTGAATGTCAGCTCTGGACAGCCATGTAGTGAAGAAAGGAATGAAGAATGAGAACAATCGTAAATAGCTCTATGGTTCTGTCCTGTAAAATCCAAAAAGTACAAATACCTACTGACTGTGCATGGCCTTATAGGTTGCTTCCTTTAACCCTCACAACTCTGTGAAATAGATGTTATAAACTCTATTTTACACTCATTGAAATTGAGGCTTAGGTTAATTTGTCCAAGGCACAACTGTTAGAGCCAGGGTTTGAATCCAGGACAATCTAAATCCCATTCCTGGGTGTTTTGATTGAATCCTGACTGGCCTCACTTATATGATACTGTTCTTTCCTGTAAGCTATTCTTTTCTTTAACAAAGACTAAGGGACCTTACCGTTGCCATTTTCCATTGTTTTTAAAAAACGAGAAGTTTGGCCTGCAGAAATGGTCACCAAGACCCACAAAGTAGATCTGGGCCTTGGGATCCTGGAGGAAAAAAGCAGAAGAAGGTGTTCAAAGAACCAGAGATTCAACACTCAATTTTAAACCATGATTTAAATAGTGAAATGATTATTTCACTGATGCTTCTCCTATAAAAGCCCCATCCTCTTCTAAGAATGTAGTCCAAGGGAAGGCATCTGAGATGCTTCTGTTGAAGAAAAAGAAGAAAAACAAGGGCCACAACACCCTTTATGAGGAACACTTAGAATTTGAGACCACATTGTGTGTCAGAGGGACAGAGAAGTCATCCAGCCCCAGGAAGCAGGTCACTGGTCACTCACTGTACCTCAGCAGCGAGAAGAAAATGAAGAGAAAGTCTCTGTTATCTCTGACCATGTCTTATGGTTCAGGGGTGAAGATTTCCCCAGACAGGGTAGGGAGGTGGCCAGAGCTGGCAAGAAGCTCAAAAAACATAAGGAGGAAAAAAGGCCCAGGACACTGCAGCCTTTTCAGTCCAGGACCCTTGGTTCTGTGAGACCAAGGATGCTCTGTACACTTGTTCAGTGAGGAAGGAAGGCAAGGAGCAGGCAGCTTTGGGGCAGAAACAGAAGCAGGGGGCCCCAGAGAACACAGTGTGAAGATGAAGAAAAAGAAGAAAATCCATGAGGAGGGAGACACCCTCCCAGGCTCCTCCAAACTCTCTAGGCCCATGGACAGCAGCCCTAGGAAAGGAAGTAAAAAGAAGCCGCCAAAGTTGAGGCTCCAGAATACATCCCAATTGGAGATGGCCCTAAAGCCCCAGTGAAGAAGAAAATGAAGTCCAAGAAAAAGGTCGAGCAGCCGGTCTTTGAGGAAGTGGCTCTAAAAAGGAAAAGAAGAGGAACGAGAGCAGGGTAGCAGGAGACCCTTCAAAGGAGGAGCCAGACACAGCTTAGAGGTGGTGTTGGAAAAGAAAGGCAACACGGAGGAGGTACTCATATAGCCCAAGTGAGGCAAAGGCCTTGCAAGAAGAGATCATAAATCGGGCAAAACGGAGGCTTCTGAAAGCAGGAAGTGGACAGGAACCTGGTTTGGCCAGTGGAATGCTGCTGGTTTTGAAAACAAGGAACAGAAACTGAAATTTCTCAAACTTATGGGCGACTTTAAAAATCTCTCCCCTTTGTTCAGCCTCCTCCCTCTCATGACTGGAAGCCCAACGTGGCCCTCAACAAGGCGGCAGCTGACACATTGCAGCAAAACCTACATCAGGACTACAACTGTGCCACAAGCTGGAAGTATAACCGAGGGACAGGCCTCAGCTTCTTTACTGCCCCAGATATAAAGTCTTTTATATCGACAGGAACCATTCCAAGGCAATCAAGTTGGAAGATTAAACTCTAGTCTCCTCTTCCCCACAAGTCAAAATTGCTTTTTTTATTCAGTTGTGCAGATGACACCCACCTGACAGTTGTCTCCAATCACACACCTGTGAAGATTAAGGACAACTATCTTGATGGGCTTGGACGAACTGGGGTGGGGGCAGGTCATGTTTCAGGAGCCAAGAGAGCGAGTGGTTAAAACCTACCATTGTCCAGGTGAAACATTACATCCCTGTCCGAAGACATCAGCGTGTGTAAATAACAGTAATTAACATGTGCTAGGTGATTAGCATGTGCTAAGCACATACTAAAGTGTTTTCCCTGCATTAATGTATTTAATCTTAATATTGAAATGTGTGCTATTATCCCCATCTTATAGATGAGGCAACTGAGGTTCAGGGATAATGTAATAAAATTGTCCCAGGGTCACCCAACCAGTTAGTGCCTAGTGTTGTAATTTTGTACCTCCACCCCTAAGTCACTATTCATTACTCTGAATGTCCCTTCTTGGGAATCTCACCCAGAATACTTCCTGGGGATTAAACTGTCTTCTGATTGAGAGAGGAAAAAAAAACTGATCAGATTCTCAAATTCCTGTGGGGGAAATGGGTAAATGGTTAGAGGAATCCCTGTGGAAAGAAGTGTAAATATAAGTGCAGCCTAAGCATAGAGTAACAATCATCAAGGCAAAATTCAGGGGTTTTAAGTGGAGGGGAAAAAAAGTGTTATTATTAATATCATAACATGTTAGCAGTGATGCCTGAAAACACTACGCAATCTGGGATTCTATAAAATTCTTGGAAAACCTCTCGTGAGCATCACTGAAATATTAAAATCTGATTTCTCAGCACTTCCAGCTCCCAGAGCTTGCAATACGTGCCAAGAACACTGAGACCCACTTAAAATGAATAAACGATGATGCCAGCAGAATGGTGGCTTACAAGATCTTTTACAGTAGCACAACAATAGAGGGATGTACTGAGTTGTACAACTCATCCAATCCACCCAGTATAACTAGTTAGTTACCAAGTTACCCTACGCGTTTTCCCATCACATTGGGAAAAAGGACTGCAGAGAAACCTAGCACCTCTTGAGTAGTTTCATTCGTTCTATAAATATGTAAGCACCGTAATGCACGCGCGCCTCCACTTAGCCAGGTGTTCTTCTAGCCTTTTGGGGACACAAAGCGACCTTGCCTCCCAATACGGAAACTTCAATCCTTTTCCCAGTTTCTGTCCGTCCCAGGAAAGCAGCACATCGGTCAATTCCCAGCCTGAAGTTTGGGTATCGCCCTCCCCCAGCACGACGACAAGCATTCCCGTAGCCACTGCGGCTTCAGAAGCCGCACCGCAGGGTCACTCGACAGCTCGCACGGTATGGCGCAACCTGCGGTCACGTGGCCGCGCGGGCCCAATGACCCAGGCCCACGCTTTCCAGACGGCCGCATGCGCTCACAGAGCCGGACTTGTTGCGTCGCCCCGCCCGGGCCTCCGGGTGCGCCGGAGTTAATCCTCCCCCGAGGTCCCGGCCGCCGGGTTGCGGGTTCCCACCGAGCGTGGTTTCCTGAATTCGGCCGCGGGAGCGTGTCGTGATTGGCTTGCTCTGGTAACGGGAAGAGACCTATTTGAGACTGGGACCACTTCCTGACGTGTGAGGCAGGAAGTTACCCGATACTCCGGAGTCTCGTGAAGTGCTGTCTCTGCACGGGTAGTAGGGAGAGCTGGAGGTGGGTCGGGAGACTGGCTATTCAGAACCAACTGGGACCACTTCCTGACGTGTGAGGCAGGAAGTTACCCGATACTCCGGAGTCTCGTGAAGTGCTGTCTCTGCACCGGTAGTAGGGAGAGCTGGAGGTGGGTCGGGAGACTGGCTATTCAGAACCGCCGCAGCGAGGAGCTCGTTTCCATCGCGGCACCACGGCCCCCTCCTCAAGCCCCGAGCCCGGCGCGGCTGCTCGGGGGGCTCCTTCAGGCTCCTTGACGCCGCTCCAAGAGGCGCCTACCCAGGCATCGCCTGGGCCTCTAGCCAGAGGACTGGCTCCCGGCTTCAGCACTCCCAGCCGCAGTAAGAAGTGCCCTTGTCGCCCTGCGCCCTGCCCCCCTCCCTGAGCCACAGAGACCCTGGTCCAGAGCGACAGCCTTGGACCTGGGATTTCACGAATCCAAAACGCTCAGTCCCGGTTCCCCACAAACGGGGCTTTGTATCGTCTCCATGTCACCCACTGTCTCACACAAGGACAGCAGTCGGCAGCGGCGACCAGGGACTTTTAACCACTCTCTGGATATGAAGAGCGGTCCTCTGCCGCCGGGCAGCTGGGAAGACAATCATCCGGACCCGGTGGGCAGGGAAGGGGACCAGGAAGCTCTTCTGAGTGATACCAGCACTGGTGACTTTTCCAAAGCCCCACGGAGCTTTCGGGCCGAAATAAGCAGCATTTTGCTGCTGCTCTTCCTTTATGTACTTCAGGGCATTCCGTTGGGCTTGGCGGGAAGCATCCCACTCATTTTGCAGAGCAGAAATGTTAGCTATACTGACCAAGCTTTCTTCAGTTTTGTTTTTTGGCCGTTCAGTCTCAAATTGCTCTGGGCACCGTTGGTTGATGCGGTCTACTTTAAGAACTTCGGTCGTCGCAAATCTTGGCTTGTCCCTACGCAGTATGTACTAGGATTCTTCATGATCTATTTATCTACACAAGTAGACCGTATGCTAGGGAATACGGATGGCAGAACACCCGATGTGGTTGCTCTCACTGTGACATTCTTTTTGTTTGAATTCCTGGCCGCCACTCAGGACATCGCTGTGGATGGTTGGGCGTTAACTATGTTATCCCGGGAAAATGTGGGTTATGCTTCTACATGCAATTCGGTGGGCCAGACAGCGGGCTACTTTTTGGGCAATGTTTTGTTTTTGGCCCTTGAATCTGCAGACTTTTGTAACAAATATTTGCGATTTCAGCCTCAACCCGGGGGAATCATTACTCTTTCAGGTAGTATATTTAATCTATTATGCTGTTGGGCTTTTTTTTATGTTTACGAATCCTTTTGACAGAATGTGTGAAGTTGGAGGGAAGCACATTATTTAATTTACTGGAAATCGTTTTATAGTAGATAACCTGAGGCAAGTTTTCTTTTTGGTTGATGTGGGCTTCTTTGAAGTGTTATTAAAGCCGGAATGACTACATTAGAGCAGTCATAATTGATCCACATTATTTAATTTACTGGAAATCGTTTTATAGTAGATAACCTGAGGCAAGTTTTCTTTTTGGTTGACGTGGGCTTCTTTGAAGTGTTATTAAAGCCGGAATGACTACATTAGAGCAGTCATAATTGATCAGTACTCCGCAGTGAAGAGGGAGAGGCAACCCATCAGATAACAAAACTGAGTCAAGGAATCCTTCGCACTTGCTTAATATAGAGATGCACATTTTTAAAAAATCTGGCTCACGTGGTTCACATTTTTCTTTTTGTCTTTTGTCAGATTGAGATTCTAGCTCCATGCTTTTTGATCCATTTCTACCCCTACTCTTATGCCAAGAGTCTTCATTTAGCCTTCTGGTGAATGGAACAGGGTTAATTTATTCAAACTTGTAGAGTCAGCTAAGTGACAGGATCCTAAGGGCCTCCTTTGCATGAGGTGGTGTCCTGCTCACAAGAAGTGGGGGAGATGAACATTTTAGGGGAGCTCAGAGTTGCCAGCCATTAATTGCTTGAGGGAGTCAGGCTTCACATTACAAATAACATTTGACTTTGCTCTTAATGATAACATTCCATCAGTAGGAGAAGTAGCATTTCAGAATGCACAACACCAACTGAAAATGCACTGAGGCAGGAAAATACAAAAAGGTACAGGACATTGGCTATAATGCTCAAAGTGCTTGAAGCACTAATTGTGGAACTGGATTTAGGAAATGGTGCTGAAAGAAAGGTTGTGACCAAATTACTATGATTTCCTTTAATTGCTATGGGAAGGAGATTAAAGTTCATCCTGTAAGAAATTGGGGCAAGTTCTACAAAATTTCACTTTTTCTCTGCATGAGTTAAATACATGTAAGGTTTTCTGAGGGCTTTTTTGTTTAGTTTTAACTTTCCTAACAACTGGGAAACAAAAGTGAAATGGCCAAAATCAGGAATAACAACATCAGGGACATTGTAGAATTCTTCATTCTGTGAGTGATAATGAATTTAGGTGATTCTGTTTTGAAATTTAAGGAGCTAAACTTCCTCTCAGCTTCTGTGCTGTCTTGGAGATTCCCAGCAGGGTAAATGTTAGGGAGATGTGTGTGGTGAGGGAAGTTATATGGCAGGAAGGGAGGGGGGTGGAGGTGACAACTGTACTATCCATCTCCTGGAATTTTAGACATCCTCATACATGCCTAACATTTGTCTACCTCCTCAAACTACTAGTGAGCCACTATTACTAATGAAATGATAGTTATACTTTTCTTCATTTTGTTCAGGTCAAAAAATAGCTGACTGATATTGCCATGCACCTCAGCAGATTTGTCTCTGAATGTTTTGGGTTTCCACTCCTGCTTCTCTGCAGATAATTCTCTGCCTAGAAACACTTTGTGAATACGTACTGTTGGCAGCTGGTTACTTTTTATGTGTCTGCTTTTCATTTTGTCCTGGAACTGCTATTCATATCACCAAGGAGGATAAATGAGATGATGTGTTACTTAGGATGGGAAAGTTTCCAAGAAATTAAGATTTAAGAGGCTATGGAAACTAAATTGCTAATTAGGTAAATTAGAGCTTTCTCTTAACTGTAATATGAGTGATTGATAAAACATCATTCCAAAGAACACCATTATGAGGTATTATAATTACATTTATATGCCCTTACCCACAACTGTTCCTCTATGGATCAAAATTATGCCACTGGATTTTTATTTAGACTGATTTGTTATTTTGATCAGTTGTTTTTTCTGTGGAATTTGAACTTTGTTCTCCAGGAAACACTAAAAATAGCTTAATTTTTTATGTGACTTTTCATATCTGTAGTGGACTGCTGTTTTGGGGTCAAATATTTTAGCTGAGAGTTAAAGAGTTCCTGAGTTTTCACTCTCCTACTGCACATATCACATTTATAGCCCTGTACTTTCTGGAACTTGGTATAACTGAAATAAACCACTGGTTTCAAGGAATTTAAAGAGCACAGAAAGAATCATGTGAAGGAAATACTGTTGCTTAAGATAATTGAAGAAGAGCTAAACACCAAGGCAATATTTAAAACTCAGTATGAAAATGAGGAATAATTATTTTTAAAGATTTTAAAATATGTTCTGTGATTGACACTGTTTTGAGTGTTACAGATAAGTGGAGATGAATATATTGAGAAAGAACAGTTTTAGGTATTTAGAAATCAGTAATCGAAATAGTAAAAGTAGAACAGGAAGGATAGGATGAGACTAGAATCCATTAGAAACAGAACCTTGATCATGCTGAGGTTGGCTTTTTGGTACCTTCAGGTATTCAGGACACTGGTGAACTCAGAAGTAGACATTTTCTGTTTTCGACCTCTTTATTTTTCAAGGATCTCTAGTAGCAAAGAGAGACCTTTTAAGCTGCAAGAAATGATGAAAGTAACCCAGAAGGCCATAAAGATTAGAATAAAAAGTTTTATTACTTGAAAATATCATATATTTCTATTTCTTTATTCTTATAGATGAGGAAACTGAGATCAAATGACTAGTTAGAAGAAGTAAAACCTACAGCTTTGTTGAAGTGCTAATTGGGTTTTTCTGCCAGAGAAAAGTAGCACGATGACTGCTGATGTCTAAAAAACATCAGCCCACTCCTGGAATGCCTGATTCCCAGAAGTGACAAACTGAAGTTTTTTTTCTGTTCTTTTAATTTTTTAATTGACCCGTGCCATTCATTTACTCAGCACTGAATGCCTCTTTGGTGCTAGCCATGTTATGATTTGGCTTGGTGTTATGATTTGGCTTGGTGTTATGATTTGGCTTGGTGTTATGATTTAAGTAATAAGACCTAGTTTTTTTCTGTTCTTTTAATTTTTTAATTGACCCGTGCCATTCATTTACTCAGCACTGAATGCCTATTTGGTGCTAGCCATGTTATGATTTGGCTTGGTGTTATGATTTGGCTTGGTGTTATGATTTAAGTAATAAGACCTTGAAATTCTCTGCTCCCAAGGAACTTATAGTCTATAATGGAGATTTACAGACCAAAACAATGAAGTGGGTAGATGGATAATGTAAACCACTGAACTGTGTAGGTGCAAGACTGTAGGAATTGGAGGGGACAGTGATGACCTGAGAAACCCATGCCCCTCTAAAGTCAAGGAGTTTCAACTCCAATAAATTGTCTTGTGGCAATAGGATCCCAGGATTGCTAGATCTTATAAGTATTCAAGAGAAGCTGGAAATTCCTCTTTTGTTTATTTCCTAACATTAAAAACACTTATTAGGTTCGTATAAAATATGTTTTTTGGCCAGATTCAGCCTGTGAACTGGTCATTAAGACCCTCTCCTCTAGAAGTAGCAGTAATAATAATGATTAGAGAAAATAATTGGGATAAGGAGCAAGCATATTTGGATTTGGGGGCAGGGAGAACAGTCTGACCACCAGAGAAGAGAGCTACAGATATTAGAGCTTATAAATCAGTTTGTTTATAGATAGGCATACCTTTATAAGAGTCAATCAGAGAAAAAGGAAATGTTGCTTTGAAAAAACTGATGCTTTAAGTATGAATCTGATCAAACTTGTGTAATAAAAACATTAATTCCTACTTAGTGATAAATTTCTGTCTTGTTTTCAGAAGAGGCACTCATTAACATTTTATGTGACTAGAAATTCTTTTTAGAGTTTGGGCAGGACTAATTGACCCATTTCTAGACAGACCAGTTATTCTTATATAGGCTATGATACATTCTTTAGCATCCATATCTAGTTTCAGACATTAACATTATGTTCTCAACAAAACTATAGAGGTGGAGAACAGATTGGAAGTTGCGAGGGGTTGTGGGTAGTGAGATATAAATGAATTGCAGGAGGGAGTTTTGTGGGGAGTGATAATACTCTTCTGTATCTTGATTATAGTGGTAGTGATTTAAAATGCATTAAAATTCATACAACCGTACACCAAAAAAATTCAATTTCACCGTATAACAATTTAAAAGTAAAATTTATAAAAAAGTTTTTAAAAAACCTAATTCATTACCTTAAAAGCGACTCTAACTTGACATTATTGGAGTTCATGAAATGGTATGTGATCTCAAACATGACACCTTCCTAAGGGGATAGAAAAAATAAGGAATTAGGAAGATTTCAAAATTAACTACATATTTACTCTATTTTTGCATTATATGCCGGTTTTTAGAAACCTAATCCCCAAATAAGATATGACTACAATGCATAATCAAAACAGAATTTTCTGGGAGTTTCAACAGCTTGGATATTTTGAGCAAATGTTTAAGGGAGAAATCTGTGGAATAGAACAAAGGTCTGTTTCTTTTCTTTTTTTTTTTTTTGTCCTTTTTGAGACCGGCCGCACGGTGCTGTGAGCGCACCAGTCATCCCTATATAGGATCCAAACCCGCGGCGGGAGCATTGCTGCGCTCCCAGCACCGCACTCTCCCGAGTGCGCCACGGGCTCGGCCCAAAGGTCTGTTTCTGCTAATAATCAGCTGGTGACCCAGGGCCATACACATAATATTACTATTGTAGTTTTCTTCTCTGAAAGCAAAAGCCTAGGACTGAATGGTGGGTGTCTAAAGTCCCTTCATGCTCTAACTTGTGAAGTAAAAGTACTGTGCCAAAAACAAGAAAGTGAAAAGAAGACCTGATAATTATTTAGAACAGAAACTGTAACAGTTTGTTTTCCCTGCCATTGACTTCTAAAGGATTAAAGTTAATTTCCAAACTGTGAGAGAGAGCTAGAGGGAGAGAGAATCTGAACTGAGCCCTGGATGATTGTATCAGGCAGTGCTTCTTAATTTTTTTTTTTTTACCTCTTACTATGGTGGAAGAAAGTGAACCTCCACCATAAAAGGGTTTGAATGTCCAGATGAAAGCCTTTAAAGCTTGATTTTTTTGGAAGTCTAATATTTTATCTTTAAAATTTTGGGAAATTTTGCCTTCTTTACCATGTATTTATTCTCATTTAAATATTTTTCTATAAATTATTGAGTAAAATGAATTCTTGAAGAAGTTGCACCAAGTTTGTTTATCTTATTGGTTTGCAAACCATTGGCGTATAACCATATGGGGAAATGGAGGGGGAAGTGGAGAATACAAGTAGCCAGTTTTAAAAAGTATGGTCAGGTATCTATGTTCCAGACCTCATGGTTGGAGCTAAAATATGTTGAACCTTTTTTCTCAGGTATGTCTGGTTGATAGAATAGAGAGTCAACTTGCTGTGGATGTATCTGAATATCTGGATAATAGAGTGGAAAACATTCTTGCTTAGAACCAGAACTGAGTTTGAATCTCACTTCTGGCACTTTCTCTATTGTGATCGTGTTTCATTGTATGTAAAGTAGGAATAATAATGCCTATTTTGGAGAGTGATTTGAGATTATGAAATGTTCTTTGTTTTTGCATGGGCTTATAATAGGCCATAACCAGCACTCAGGTGCTGGCTATTATATCTTTATTGGTTACTGGTGAATTGTTACATGCTCTTAATTTCTGTATTCATGGAGCACTGGACAAGTTCTTGTAGCCACTTCAGAATATTTAGTCTGTTTTTTAGGTCTTTGCTCAAAAATCATGTTTCTGAAACTTAAACATTGGCATTTACGTCTTGATTATACATTTATATATCATAACGCTGTTTATAATGCTCAAATCAGTGTATTCAACATTATACAGTGTAAGCATTTTTCCAGGCCCATTACCAATTCCTCCCAAACCTTCTCTCCTTCCCCCTTTCCCACCTCTGGTCACCTCGGTTCTGTCTGTTCTCACCTTTTGAAAGTTCGACATGTTATTGTGATTTGTATCTTTCTTTCTTTCTTCTTTTATTTATTTTTTTAGCTCCCACTTAGGAGTGAGGACATGCATTATCTCTCTTTCTGTTCCTGGCTTATTTACTTAACATAATTTTTGTTAAGTTCATCCAGGTTACTGCAAATGGCAGAATTTCATTCTTTTTTATGACAGAGTAGTATTCTATTGTGTAAATATACCACATTTTCCTTATCTAGTCATCCAGTGATGGACATTTAGGTTGGTTCCAACTGTTGGCTATTATAAATAGAGCTGTGATAAACATAGGAGTGCATATATCCCTTAGACATGATGATTTCCATTCCTTTGAGTATATACCCAGTAGTGGGATTGCTGGGTCATATGGCAGTTCTATCTGTAGTTGTTTGGGGAAGCTCCATACCATTTTCCATAATGGCTGCACCAATTTAAGTTTCACCAACAGTGTAGGAGGGTTCCCCTTTCTCCACATCCTCACCAGCATTTGTTATTCTCTGTCCTTTTGGTAATAGGCAATCTAACTGGGGTGAAATGACATCTCAATGTGGTTTTCATTTGCATTTTCCTGATGCTTAGTGATGATGAACATTTTTTCATGTGTCTGTTGGTCATTTATATGTCTTCCTTTCAGAAATGCCTCCCATGTGTCTTATCCATTTAATTTTGTAGTGGCAAACTAAACTGCAGTTCTCAGCGTGGTTAATGAGATACAGCTTTTGATATTAGTTGTATAAGGCATCAATCACAATTTATCACTGACTTGGAATGTAACTTCAGGCAATTTAACCTCTGTATAAGCCTCAGTTTCTTCATGTGTAAATTGGGGCTAGTGATAACATAACCTATTGGGGTGTCACAGTAAAGGAGGTGATATGGGTAAGATGCTTAGCACATTTATGGCACATGGTGTGCAACTCAATAATGGTGCCTCTATTATTACTGTTATTTTTTGCTGTTAAGCTGAATCTTCCAGGCCATTATTCACTCCCACCACTAAATTTGTTTTTGTAATAACTAATGGGCCAGCTATCTTTCACTGCAAAAACCCAAACAATATTCTTCATGTGTAGCCATTCTGCACCCATGAGTAAGGAAATTGCTTCTATATTACAGTATTGAAAAGAAAAATTCATTCTTAAACATTAAAAACATTAGAAAGTTTAAAAATAAAAGGTGGAAAATCTAATGAAAATAGTTATCTGTTTGTTCTCTAAGCTGTCCTAATTTAATAAAGAACTGAAATGGCTTGGGTAAATAAAGAAGTGTAGCTTGTGGATCTTATGGGATACGAAAAATCATCTCCTGCCCCTAGCACTTTGCTTGAATAAGAAGATGTGATAGGCTTTTCTTTCATTCAACTCAATTGTACACTAAATGTCTGTAAGCCTTTTTTTCTTGTTAAGTATCACTTTCTATTTGGGTATGTATAATGTATGTTTAACACAGTCAGGACTGTTTTGTTCATCTGCTGTGCCTTGTATGGTGCCTGGGACATAATAGGCACCTAAATGTTGTTTTTCTTTTTTATAACAGATTTTAGTTGAGGAGAAGCTGTATACAGAATTATTTAGTATCAATGAACTTATGTCATTTCAAAAGTTAACTATAAATTTAAAACATTCTTAATTTCAGATTTCCTTTTTTTCTGGGGAACTGTATTTTTAGTAACAACGACATTAGTTGCCCTTCTGAAAAAAGAAAACAAAGAAGTATCAGTAGTAAAAGAAGAAACACAAGGAATCACAGATACTTACAAGCTTCTTTTTGCCATTATAAAAATGCCAGCAGTTCTGACATTTTGCCTTCTAATTCTAACTGCAAAGGTAAGAAATTTATAAAGCAAATTTACCATTCTGTTATAATTACCAATATCATGGAATACTTTCAATGCCTTTTCATATCACAAGTCTCTTTCCACTACCATTAGAATTTAACAATGAAAAACAGTATTTTCTGTTTACTAAATGTATTTTAAGGGGCTGACAGGTTATTTCATTCAGTTAGATCATGGTGCTGATAACACCAAGGTCAAGGGTTTGGATTTTCAAACTGGCTAGCCACATAAAACACACAAAAGTGTATTTAAAAAAGTGTGGTGATGTCAAGTATAATTTTGAAGTAAGCTAAATGTCTTGCAATCTTGAAAAGAATTATGTCAATTTGAAGAACTGCTAAAAAATGTGAAATTTTGTTTAATTAATGATATTAATGTGTGGAATGGAAATGAGTGCCTTGAAAAAATAATAGCTCTCTACAGTTATAATGAGTATACATTTAATGTTGGGGTAGTAAAGTTATTTATTTAAAATGTAGTTTACAAAGATATGGAAGTATATTAGTATTAGTAGTCTATTTAAAAATCCATTGAATTATTTTTTAAAATACTGAAGAAAAATATGCCATAAAACAAAGGGGATTACTGGTGCTTTTTCTGTGTTTGGATGTTCCATGGGCTGGCCAGTTAGCTCAGCTGGTTAGAACACAGTATTGTAACAGCAGGCTCAAGGATTTGGATCCCTGTACTGGCCAGCTGCCAAAATAAATGAGATATTCCAATTATAGTTCTAAAACATTTTTAAGACATTTCGCTAGAATAAAGGTAATTATATTTTGTTACAGTGAGCTATTGTTAATGTTAGTGCAATATTCCTAAAATCTAGAATCTTACAGGATTTTCATTTTATTTATTTAAACTTATCTAAATAAACTATAGCTACCTTTTGACATCTCTGAAGGAAACATTAGAATTATGTTGTTTTCATTTTGAATACTGAGTTTTTCTTTATCTTTAATGATAAGAAGGGAAAGTTCAGAAAATGCTGAAAGGTTCAAGCAAGATAATATTATCATGAAATTATATCTTTTAGAAATAAACAGTGATATTTTTGGTACATTTCCCTCAAGCTTCCTTTTCTTCCCTGTATATATATGTGTGTGTGTGTGCTGATATGTGTATATACATATACTTTGTGTATATATATATATTTACACATACACTTTAAAAATGGAATTAGATCAAACTGTATATAATTTTTATCTTTTATTATTCCAAACGTATTCCGGTATCTTTAAATAATATTTGAAAGCACACTTTTTAATAGCTACATAATAATCATAGTATGTAAATTTGCCACAATCTACTCAGTCATTCTTCTGTTATACAATTTGCTAGTGTTTTTTAATTATAAATATGCACTAGTGAACATTTTTGTGCATAAGTCTTTCTTTAATGTTCTGAGTATTTCCTTCCAATATATTCTTAAATGGACAATTAGTGGATCAGTGAATGTGATTGCTAAATTGCTTTTCAGTAGACTATACTGATTTATACTGTCTGCAGCAATGTATAAAGAGGTGCTTCAATAACAGTCCATAATCCTGTGTTGTCTTTAAAGTAAACCTCCCCAAAAGCAGCACCTTTCTCTACCAGATTTTAATACTATAAATTAATTTTCCTTGCTTTTGAGTTTTATATAAGTGGACGACTATACAATATGTATTTTCATGTCTGGTGCTTGTATTCTTTAGTTCAACAATATGTTTGTGCAATTTATCCATATTGATATTTATACCAAGTTTGTTCATCTCGTTGCTGTGTAATATTCCATTGTGTGAAAATGCCACAATTTATTTATCTGTCAACAGATGTTCAGAGCTATTAGGAATAGTGCTTCTATGAACATTCATGTACATGACTTTTGGTGACCATAGGTGCACATTTCTGACGGTTAAATAGGTAGGAGTTATAGGAAATGCATAGTATATGCTGCCAAAGAGTTTTCCAAAGTGGTTGTTCCAATTTTCCCTATCACCAGCTGTGTAGAAGAGTTTTAATTGCTGTACATCCTTGAAAACACATTAATCAACTTTATCATTTTAGCCTTTCTGGTGGGGGTGTAGTGGCATCTTGTTACGGTTATAATTTGTGTACCTCATAACTAAACAAGTTGAGCATCTTTTCATATGGTTATTGGCTATTTGAATATCCAGAGTTGCCTTTTGCTTTAAATTTGTAAAGTTTTTGTTTTTTTATATATTCTGGATATGAGTTAGATATGTGTATTACATACCACATATTTAGTTAGACATGTGTATTACAAATATCTACCACTATACAACTTTTAGCAAAGAGTAAATGTTGAAGTCACTTTGTATATCTCATTTTTACAGAAAGAATGGATAAAATGTAAGTGAAATTTTTTTTTTTTGTCCTTTTTGAGACCGGCCGCACCGCGCTCAGCCAGTGAGCACACCGGCCATCCCTATATAGGATCCGAACCCGCAGCAGGAGCACTGCTGCGCTCCCAGCGCCGCACTCTCCTGAGTGCGCCATGGGCTCGGCCCCTAAGTGAAATATTTTTGACTTAATTTTTCTATGGTGAAATATACTCTTTGGCTCCATTCCAAGAAATTAAAGCGTACACTATTTATAATCCCTTTTTAAAAAAACATTTATGTTGGGCTGGTCAGTTAACTCACTTGGTTAGAGCATGGTGCTGATAACCCCAAGGTCAAGGATTCAGATCCCAATACTGGCCAGCTGCCAAAAAAAAACAAAAACCAAAAAAAAAAGTATTTATGTGATATAATTTCACACTTATTGAAAATTTACTAGTAGAAAGAACTCCTGTAATTTATCCAGATTCTCTAATTGTTAACATTTAATTCTACTTTCCTTATTCTGTAGGTTTGCTCTTTCTGTATATATCTATTACATATTTTGTCTAAAATATTTGAGAGCAATTTGTACCTATCCTGCACCTTTATCCATTAATACCTTAAGTATGTATTTATGTATCTTCTAAGAACAAGACTTTCTGTTACAGAACCACAACTCAATAAAAAATCAGGAAATTTAAAACTGATACAATATTATCTCATCACAGTCCACATCCATATTTTACCAGTTGTTGCAATAATAGCCTTTATAACTTTATTTTTTTCTGGTCAGGGGTCCAATCCAGGATCACACATTGCATTTAGTTGGTATGAGCCTTTCTTTGTCTTCATAACCTTGACCTTTTTGAATACAGGCCTATTATTCTGTAGAATAACCTTCCATTTAGGTTTGTCCCTTGTTCATGTTTGGTTGGGTTCAGGTTACACATATAAGGTAGGAATAGCACAGATATAATATTTTGATGTCTTCAGGGAATTATATCAGGAGTTACGTCATGTCTCTTTATCCCCTTAACTATTGTTTTTAACTTTGTTACTTTGTTAATTCATTGTAAAGTTAGTATTTTTCCTTTAGTAATTAAAAATTAATGGGGAGAAGGGTTGGGGTGAGTGTGGTGCTGGCAACACCAAGGTCAAGGCTTTGGATCCATGTACAGGCCAGCTGCCAAAAAAAACTAATGGGGAGATACTTTGAGACTATTTAAATATCTTATTTTGCTTCAAACTTTTACCCACTACTTTTAGCATCCTGACTTTTTTTGTTGTTTTTAAGAAACAATCTAACTATACTTTTTCTTCCCCCTCATTTCATTAACCCTCTCAAATATAATGTTTTCTCAGAATTACTTTTAAAACATTAGATGACTTTAGGAAATTTTATTATAGTCAATCAGAAATCATCAATTCACACACATACACACACACACACACACACACACACACACACACACACACACACATTGCTATAATGGTAGGAGAATCCAAATCTTCAAGGTGCTATTTCTTCTCTCCTCCACTGAATTCCAGATGGAGTTTCAGAAAAAGCAACCTTAGAAACAGGTTTTTGAGCTAGATGAAACCCTACTGACTATTTCATTCATTCATTTCCCAAACCAGGTGGGCTTTGGCAGTTCTGCAAATGTTAGTGTCAAATTCCACTTTTTAAAAAATATTTGAGGGGCCGGCCTGTGGCTCACTCGGTGGAGTGCGGTGCTGATAACACCAAGGCCACGGGTTCGGATCCCATATAGGGATGGCCGGTTTGCTCACTGCCTGAGCGTGGTGCTGACAACACCAAGTCAAGGGTTAAGATCCCCTTACCGGTCATCTTTTAAAAAAAAAAAAAAATTTGAGACTGTACTTTAAAAATGAATGCTCAGGTGCTTTGGGCAGCAGCTTTTAAGGTGTTGGGGATTACTAATTTAGGATTCCCCTGTTATCTCCATTAAATGAAGAACCTATTTAGATTGCAAGGAGAGCCCCTGAAAAAAATAGCTACTCTTTGCCACCATTTTTCTGTGAATCAGGGGTTTACCCAATGCAGAAATGAAGTGGATATTCTGACAGTAAGATTTCATCTACAACGTTTGGTTGGAAATTTCTGTGTCCATTTCAACAGCCTCAGTGAAATCAATTGCTTTGTATAAATACTAATTTGAACATGGGAAACAAATTTTAACCAGATTAATTTGGGGTCAATTGAAGGCTTTTCTCAGAAACTTAAAATTTTGGATTTTTGACACTGTTTATTTTAACAGATTGGACTTTTATGAAGTTGAAGCGTAATTGTAATTAGAGCCATTTGCAGTTCTTACAAGTTGAATTTTTCATTGTTTTCACTAATTACTGTTAGTAAGCCATAGAAGGCAAAGTGTGCCTTCTGTAGCTTGGTTGTTGTGCCAGATATAATAATATGATACTTATAACTGTCATGGGTCAATAATGATATTGAGATTCTTGAAAAACTTAAATATGCTTGGAAGAAAATATTTCATAAGTCACAAATTAAAATACTTTTTTGTTTTTAATTGCAGATTGGTTTTTCAGCAGCAGATGCAGTAACAGGACTGAAATTGATAGAAGAGGGAGTACCCAAAGAACACTTAGCCTTATTGGCAGTTCCAATGGTTCCTTTGCAGATAATATTGCCTCTGATTATCAGCAAATACACTGCAGGTCCCCAGCCACTAAACATATTTTACAAAGCCATGCCCTACAGGTAAAAACAAAATAAAACATTACTAAATAAGAAAGGTTAAAATAGGAACATTCATCAGTTTCACTAATATCTCAGTGTAGAAAAAGCCTTAAAAATCATCTTTAATTTCAGTATCATTTATATGCACTTTTATCTCTTTTTAACCTCTTGACAGGTTTTAGATACAGGCTTCTTTTATATAGTAGGCACACAGATTTCTGTCTTTATTGTTGTTCTTTAACCTAAGATGGAAGTCAATTCAACGTTCCTTTCTTTTTCTATAGATTATTGCTTGGATTAGAATATGCCCTACTGGTTTGGTGGACTCCTAAAGTAGAACATCAAGGGGGATTCCCTATATACTACTATATTATAGTGCTTCTGAGTTATGCATTACATCAGGTAAGCTTGCCATGGTTTTCTTAGGAAGTAAACTGTTCTGTGTAAAATAAGGAAAAAAATTTCTACAGTTGCCTTAAAATAATAATAATAAATTTTGAGATTTAAGCATGAATCTGACACTGAGGAAATTATTTGATGATGAACTTTAAACCTTGTGGCTTTTTGATTTAATGAGTTCTCTTCACAGAAAGAAGTTTCCTTACTCACTTATTCATTTTTCTTTTTCCAATTCGTTTAACAAGTGTCTTGTTACATTTCAGAATTGATTCCAAAGCCATTCTACTCTTTCTAAGTATTCGTCAGCCTGTCTTAGATTTGGGTTCTTTCTTTCTTCAATTCCTAGTATCTTTTCTTTCTGAAAGTATTGTGATATGATAACAGCTACTGGATCAGAGATCCAAGGTTTCTGGCTTAGATTAGCTATTGGAAGTTACGACTTACTCTTCATAATTTTGGAAGCTGTGTATTAATTAAGCTGGTATTTCTTTCTTTGTTAAATATGTTTGTCATCCCTAAAAAAAGTGATCACCACTTTGCTCTAGCCTCACCTAAGCTGCTGTTGCAGAGGGATTCAAGTAAATGGCAGAGGCCCAGCAATAACCTTTGGGACTCAACTGTAATTATTGCTAACGCATATTTCAGAGTCACTTTGGATTTTTCTCTGGAACCTAGTCTAAACCCTTTAGAAATTATATTTACTAACTTCTTATTTTTTAACTGAAACTTAAAAATATGGCTGCCAGGTAATCTCAGTAGTGTTTTGCAGACAAATTATTTAGGAGAATTTTGTAGTGGCTCATGTTGGACCAAATGATATGTTTGTAAAAATCATTGAGGCCAGGATGTCAATTTTTTTTTTTTTTTTTTTTCTGTTTCAAATGTACTTAATGCTAGGCACATAATAGAAGTTGAAAGAAGTGGTTTAGCTCAATCAGTGCTTCACTGTCTGTGTAGGTAAAGAAAAATTACGATGTCAGAGTCTAAAACTTATTTGTTTGGCTTTAGATTTCATTAGAGAATTTCTCAAAGTGTAGTCAGTGAAACTCAGACAACCAGATGGTTTATGGGAAAAAAGGTACAAGGCTAAGTAAATTTCACAAGTGATACATGACGTAACTCCTTTGTAAGTAGCACCATAATCATTCCTTTGATAAATATTAAATGAATACCTATTCCATGCCAGAAACCATTCTGAGTACTGAAGTATAATTGAATAAATCATGCCAAAATCCCTGCCCACAAGGAGTTCATATACTAAAGGTTTTCAGAAGGCCTACAGTTAAAAGAATCTTTTACATCTTGTGTAATTTAATGTCTCTCAGTCTTATTTAACTTTGAAACTCTCTTTTCTGTGAACACCGCGTGGAAAAGTACTCAAAGGAATGCTATTTTGGAAACACAATTTGTTTCCCATACTCCAAAGTTGAGGGTTAATTCTTGCCTCCTAAGTACTTTTTGTCTCTTAAGGAGGTTTTTCTCCTCAGTTTGTCAAATAAATTTTTTTTCTGTATATATAGAAGAAAAAATGTAATTTTATATTTTTGTTTGAATATTTGAGTGCTTACATATATAATGCATACATACATATAAAATATGTATACACGTAATTCATGACATATATTTAGTTACAGTACAAATATGAGGTTTTGCATTTTGCTATATGCATCCTTCATCTATCACTTTCTCTGTTGAGACTTCCTGACTCCTCACAGTAGAATCAGTCTTTCATTTATTTATGCTCCAGTAGCACGATGTGTACACTTTACTACATTTTATCATAATTACTTATTCCCTATTTTCCCAGCCTAGAATAAATTCTTCAAGGACACAAAGGGATTGTTTCTCATTCATCTTTGTATTGCCATGATCTTAAAGTCTGGCCTTTAGTAGGTGCTCGATAAGTGTTTGTTGAATTGAATTCAGTAAAGATTATGAAAATTAATTTTCAGGTTTATGATTTCATAGTTCTTAATTTAGACCATAACTTTATAGTTCTAGTCATACTGAAAATGTTTTACATTTTCCCTGTAGGTTACATTGTACAGTATGTATGTTTCTATAATGGCTTTCAATGCAAAGGTTAGTGACCCACTTATTGGAGGAACATACATGACTCTCTTAAATACCGTGTCCAATCTGGGAGGAAACTGGCCTTCTACAGTAGCTCTTTGGTTGGTAGACCCCCTCACAGTGAAAGAATGTGTAGGAGCATCAAACCAGAATTGTCAAGCACCTGATGCTGTTGAGGTATGTTTTTATTTTAGATAACATTAAGCTAACATTAACATATTAATTTCCTTCTTTCACCTCTAGAAGTACTGTATCCTTTTTTAAAATCATATTTTCCCATAGTTTCTAGAATAGAAATCTCTTTTTTTCCTATCATAACTGAGGATTATAACACATTCAGTCAGGAAGACTAGTTCACTTTTAAAGTGCTTCTCAGCAAAGGAGGAGCAATCTCTTTCTCTCCCATCTTGAGAATCACTGTCCTACACAGTAGGCACTGAATAAGTGCATAATTAATAACTAAGTTTTATAATGATAGAAAAGGAGAAATTCCTTTGGCTAGTTAACAATTATAGTTAAAACTGAATGTTAAGTGGTTTTTTTTTTTGGTAATTATTTAAAAGTAACACTAGTCTACTTCTAGAGTAATTTCTTCACATTTCCAGGTATGAAATGCTGCATTTTGAAAATGAGCATTATTTATAGCCAGAGCTGAAAATTGTTTTTAATCCTTTTAGTAGCATTAGAGAGATTATGATACATTAACATATTTTGCCATTGGAAGTGAGTGAAATGTGGAAATGTTTTAACAAAAATATATTTTGATTAATCCTTTAAATAACAAAGTAGAAACATGTTAATTGCTGAATACTTCCATTTTGAAATTGTGAAATATTTATTATAATTTTATTTTTACAGCTTTGTAAAAAACTTGGTGGTTCGTGTGTTACAGCACTGGATGGTTATTATGTGGAGTCCATTATTTGTGTTTTTATTGGATTTGGTTGGTGGTTCTTTCTTGGTCCAAAATTTAAAAAGTTACAGGATGAAGGATCATCTTCATGGAAGTGCAGAAGGAGCAATTAATGCATATACTACCTGACATTCTAGAAAGGTAACTAGTTTAGTTTTAATTCAGAGATCTATGATAATCAGTGCATAGGAGTATAAAATATTTTAAACAAGGAGATTATTAATAAAAAATGCCAAATGACTGAAAAATAGAGACCTCTGTACATTTGATCATATTTTTCCTTGCCTTGCCCATGTATTTAAAGTTTACTTAAGGTCAGGAAATTGTTTCTAAAACAACTTTTCTGGCCTTGTTATTTGATTTATATCTTTTTAACTTACTGACCAAAGCATGTTTTAAGCTGCAATGCAGTAGTCATTGGTGGTAACCATGCAGTCAAGTATTGTTATCAGTACCTATAATTAAGCTGTATTTAAAATTTTTGTACAGTATATTAAATGGTAGAGAGCTTGATATTCAGGTACTAACTACAGATAGGCTGACCTTGTTGGCAGTTAAAATCTTATTTTGAATTGTAAATTGGTTAAATTTTATGTGGAATTTGCTGAAAAGAGAATGCAGACTACTGAAATGTCATTTTAGTTGTTTTTCTGACCATAACCACATTGAATCTGTTTTTAAAAGACTATTTTAAATGTATTTCCTAAAAATAAAAAATAAAAAATAAATGTATTTCCTGCTTTTGTAAGTATTAAAGATTTATAAGAAGATTATTCAAACTATTTTTTATAAAATGAAAGCTGTGATTTTTAATTTATTGACTTCCCCCACCCTACCTCCTTTTTTCTGGAAGATATTTTGATTCCTTGTTAACTTTTATTACCTTAAAGCTTACCTTTGGTTTTTGTCACAAGTGCTTCATAGCACACAGACAGCTAACGAAGGGATCAAATTTAGTACTGTATGTATGTTCATGGAAAAGTTTTGAAAATAAAAATTAAATTTTATTCTTCAAGTAGTGTTTTTTTTTTTTGTGACCGGCAAGGGGATCGGAATCCCAGTGCCGCTGCGCTCCCAGTGCCGCACTCTCCTGAGTGAGCCACAGTAGTGTTTTTTTAATTACCAAGAGAAAAAAAACAGAAAAGCTTTCTGATTAAAGTAAAATTTAAGTGAGGAATATCATAATTTTAAAAACTAATATTTTAAAGAGAACAACAAAAGACATTTTATGCCTTTGACAAATTATGTGGTGGAAGGATGTTTTTTAATTAAGCACTTTACTGGTGGAAAACTCTCACAATCACTTTATGCCAAATCAGGTACTATATTTCCATTATTATAACACAACCTTCTGTTTATAAACTATAGTTTCCAGTGGAAAATTGCTATTCTAGAAGAATTAAGCTTTTGAGTATTTTAGCAATTTTCAGCATATTACGTATACCCGGTGATAAGATTCTTTACATATTTTGTGTTATGAGTTACTGACCCTTCAGATATTATATAAATCTTTCAAAAGTTAGAGGAAAGGGCCGGCCTGGTGGCGCACTGCTACAGTGCACCGCTTGGGAAGCGCGGCGGC